GAAAGCTGACAAGGGAAGGCATCTCACAAGAAGGTGAATGCAGAGAGACACAGCAGTTCTCTACAGCCTAATGACGATGGAGAAACTGATCTTGAGGGTGACATCTCAGATGATGAGGCTTCCATGACCATATCCTAGATGAAATTCAGGATCAAAGACTGAGCAATATATTTCAAAAGACAAAAAGGCAATGTGATATTCTCATCCCGTTAATCATTTAACAGGCATTCATTAAACAGGACGAACATCATCATCCAATATTTTATGACAAGAACACAGATTGTCCTATTTTGCTAAAATTATACATGACAATATTTTTTTCACTTTTTATGTTTATGCATCAAAATTTGCTTGAAACAGCTCACAGGTAGACAAATGCTAAAATAGCTCATAGGCAGACAAATACTGAAGGCAGGTGACTTTCTGGAGATAGGTCCATGTATAGAAAACCTGAACTGTCCCTATTTTGCCACATTACTAAGGACAACTACCTGACTCTATTATAACAGCTAATATTTATTAAACACTTACCATGTACTACATGCTACCAAGAAGACTTTATCTAATTTAATCCTTCCCACAACCTTAGGAAGCAAATACTACTTTATCCCCATTTCAAAAAGGAAGACACTCGAAACACATGGAAATTACTTAATTTGCTAAGGATACATTGTACCTAATGGCAGGGCTGGGATTTGAACCTGGGAAGTTTGGCTCCAATATCTATGTTTTTTTTTTTTTTTTAAGATGCATACTTTTCTTTTCTGATTACATGGCTCAGATAGTTTCAATCAACGTCATCAGAAACATTTAGGAAACATGTTTGTCTTTCCTGTCTACATAGATGTCACAGTAGCCCTGGTGTTTTAAGTGTTGCCTCTAAGATTTGTCCTCTTTCAAGCATTTTCCTCTTTCTCTCAACCTGCCACTCTCAAAACCTCATTTTTCTTGTGCATTTTGTCCTACATGTGAAAACTATGGAGCCAAAGTATCTTTCCTCTGTCTATGTAGATGTCACAGTAGCTCTGGTGTTTAAGTGTTACCACTAAAGCTTGTCCTCATTCCAGCATTCTCCTTCAAAATCTATGTTCTTAACTCCTTTTCAGGTGCATTTTTTCCAAAAATAAAATAAAGTCAACCCATCATTTCTGCGCTCCCCCTTTCCTGTCTCCTCACTTCTTCCTATGAATGGCACATAGTATCCACATTCACTCTAAAGAACCACCTGAAACGTTCAAGAAGCACTCCTCTTGCATAGCAACAGCTTCAATCAGGGCACTGAGGCCCCAGTCCGGGACCAACCCAGCCACAGTGAGGTATTCTGAGCATTTCACAAGGCTCCTTAACAGCTTTGAGATCTGAATCCCTTTAAAAACCTAACAGAAGCTATGGAATCCTCTCCAGGTATGTGTAGATTTTAAAGAAAATTTCATGGGGTTTATGCCCTTAAGCCTGTTTGTGGCTCCCAAATTCCCACACTGCCCCTAGTTTATTGAAACCAAGACTTTATAGCCATACACAGAACTTCCAGTCAATGAAGGCACATGTATGAACCAATAAATTAATTTCACTGACACTGACAATCTAGATGTGACTGAGCCTATTGAAAACCCAGTTGATTCACTAACACTTCCAACTCTTCATTAGTTTTTCTTTCATCAAAATCAATGAGTCAACAACCATGGCATTCATTCATTCATTCATTCAAGATGAAGTCTTGTTCTGTCACCCAGGCTGGAGTGCAGGGGTGCAATCTTAGCTCACTGCAACCTCCACCTCCCAAGTTCAAGCTATTCTCCTGCCTCCGCCCCCCAGGTAGCTAGGACTATAGGTGCCTGCCATCATGACTACCTAATTTTTTTATTTTTAGTAGAGATGGGGTTTCACCATGTTGGCCAGGCTAGCCTCAAACTCCTGACCTCAGGTGACCCGCCTGCCTCTGCCTCTCAAAGTGCTGGGATTACAGGTGTGAGCCACCGCACCTGGCCACAACAACCATGGCTTTTATTTTGCTTTTGCCAATAAGACATATCTGGTTACAGGCATTTTAAGAAATTTAGAAGCAGATAATTCACAAGAACTGGTCCTAAGAGGAGAAGCTGGCAGACCCAAGCTCTTTGATATCTAACACGGAAGATCCTCTGGCCTTATATAAATCAATGGGCCACTGCTGATGATATTTTCTGAGTATGACCACATGGCATTATCCATATGATGCAAGTGGGATCGCTTAACATTGTGACCAAAAGCTCCACTTTCACAAATGACCTTTCCAAAGGAGGTTCGAACAGCCTGCTTAATTAGAAGTTTATATTTAGAAATGGTGTTGGCAAGAAAGTCTCCCTCCCTTCCTGCTACCTGAGAACACTACGTGAAACCCTCAAGGAAAAACTATGATGGAAAATGGTGACTGGTCAGCACATCTCTGAAATCTGCCAGGGAAATCCCCCCTGGGGAATCACAGGCATGTGATTCAGGGAAAGCCTAAGACATGTTCATCATATGAACACCAACACCTGAAAGCCTGGTTTTTACAGTGTCATCCTCGAACACGAGGAGCGGAGTCTTTTTTTTGTTTTGTTTTTTGAGACGGAGTCTCACTCTGTTGTCCAGGTTGGAGTGCAGTGGCACCATCTCAGCTCACTGCAAGCTCCACCTCCTGGGTTCAAGCTGTTCTCCTGCCTCAACCTGTAATTCCAAGCAGCTGG